CCTATAAGTGCCGAAGATTAGAGGTGTTACAAGAGAGTAACAAACAGATAAAAGAAGGAGGGGAGATAGAGATGAAATATTTTATTTATAGGAAAGAAGGAGCAAACCACGCCAGAGCACCCGCCAACCATCCACTCACCGATCAATCAAACCATTCACCAGAGCTATACCCCATCAATCAAACCACTCACCAGAGCCATCCCCCATCAATCAAACCACTCACCAGAGCTATCCCCCATCAATCAAACCACTCACCAGAGCTATCACCCATCAATCAAACCACTCACCAGAGCTATCCCCCATCAATCAAAACACTCACCAGAGCTATCACCCATCAATCAAACCACTCACCAGAGCTATCCCCCATCAATCAAACCACTCACCAGAGCTATCCCCAATCAATCAAACCACTCACCAGAGCTATCACCCATCAATCAAACCATTCACCAGAGTTATCACCCATCAATCAAACCACTCACCTGAGCTTGTACTCATCAATCAAACCACTCACCTGAGTAGTGAGCATTAGAACCTTGATAATCTGTAGCGTCAGTTTCCATGGAAACCCGTGGAAGTGTTTGAGCTTGGTGATTGGGTCCAGGAAGTACAGCCTGTTGCGCTTGCGCAGTTCGTCGACCATGGCGGGTGTGTAGTAGGATTTCTGCCTACTCAGGCGGCGTGGTCTGGATAGTTAAGTGTTAGTCTTGGTAAGAGTTTGAGTAATGAAACAGGTGAAATGGTATAGCTTTAACACCTATAGCGGCCCTTCTCGGGAATTGTGGTCCGTGAAGAAAACACAAGAAACGGAAGTGGAAACAGCTGATTAAAAAATAACTTGTAGTATGGTCTTGTAATGGATATAATGCTCGATGTGCCGGCCGTCGGCACTCGGATGTTAATTTCCCTTTTGAGTCATTTTGATTTCTTGTCTTCACTAAAATTTCATCTCAGTTTCAGTTCAAGACCATGCTACAAATACAAGATATTGCTTCTACCTCATATTCTGTTTACATCACGGACCACAATTCCCAAGGAGTGCCCCCATATCAAAACTATGAGGATATTTTAGACCTCTGAATTTTTTGGGTTTTGTTTTGGCTTTCTTTCCCTTGGTAAGTGTTTTAAGGCGCTCGCAACTGCATGGTCATATGAGCGTGCAGGACACATTAAACTTTTTCAGTTAGAAGAAAATTTAGAATTTTTCCCGGTGGAGGCCGAGGCCTACCCTTATCGATTTTAGACCATCAAGGGATCTCTAACGTGCGCAACTTGCACACTAGTACTCCGAGATTTTTCGCCCTTGACCGAGAATGCTAGGTGTACATCTTTCCTACCAGAAGATCAGGGGTGTGGCAGAAAGACAGCAGTAAGAAGGAGCCAAGGAGTAGAAGTAGAAAGGCTGCAGAAAGAGTCAGGAGCCCAGAGGAGGGGGCAAAGGAGGGGAGGGGGTGTGGGGCAGAAGGAAGAGTTGGAAGCAGACGACAGAACATTGCTAGAGAGCAGGAAAGGAGGTGAAAAGAGACAATTTTAGAGAGAAAAAAATTTCGGTTGCTACCCGGATTCGAACCCGAGACCTTTGAAAGAGAGACCAACACCTTAACCTCTAGGCCAACCGCCTGACCGCTGCACCCGCCGG